CTGATGTCCAAATTCTGCGTCAGAATCTCAACGCCCCACATCCGCAGCCTGTCGGACTCGCTACTCTTCTTCTTTGAGTGAGAAGATGCGTTCAACCAATCCCAYAGARCAGCCGAAATTACTCCTCCGCGTTCCTTAATATAGTTGATTTTTCATCTGGGTCTGCTAGAAGCTGGTCAAATGGCGTCCAGCAAGTTATGTCCTGGATGTCGGCTGTACACAGCCTGTGCCCCAACTGGGTGGACAGAGGGTCACGGAGGGCGTTCCAGTAGTAGCACTCAAACAGAGTATGCTCCACCGTGTCCTCGCCGCCCCTGCACTGCAGACACATTGGACTGGCGGCCCTGGCTTTCCTGTAGAGATATGACCGGAAACGGTTCTCCGTGTTCTCGTTAGCGCCTCGCTGTGACATGTGGAACGTCAGGAGCACTAGCGGGACCGTTCTTCTCAGCCAACGTCCGATGGATAGGTTGCAGGATCGGGTCCAGTACGCTTTCCTGGTTGCTTCCCATCTCTGTTGCCACTCTTTGCTTCTTCTCTTTTCACGGTCTGCTTGGACGGCCAGGTCTCACCAGACGTGATGTCAGCAAGGAGTCGGGACCGGATCYTGGCCCGTTTCAGGCCGAGTAAGTCGGCGGGAACCGTGAAGGAGGCTAGGACCAGGGAGGTCTTCACGGAGACGGTGTGGTATGCACGGATGGTTCTCAGCGCCGACGATCTCTGTGGATGAATCAGGTTCGCTTCGGTCCTGGCTGCCGCGGCCACCCTGCAGCTGATACAGACATGGGTGGCGTACAGCAACTGACTGTCGACCGCGGAGGTGAGCCGCTTTCTTTTCCAATCGCAGGGGCCACCTATGTTGGGCATGAGCCTTGCCAGCGCAGTCGCCGTGTGCGYGGCTTAATTATTGAGTTTTACCGTATTTTTACCTAACTTTTTTATCCGCAGGAACTTAACGTTGTTAGAAATTTCGTATTTGTCGACATTATATTGCCCACCCKCACCACTAACGATTTTCCGATCAGGCGTAACATACGCAAGTATACAACTTACCAGTATCAAATATTTATTTGTAGGTAGGTACAAGGTAAATGGTATTTCATATACTTATTGTTTTACTGAACTATTTAACTGTTCTGACAAGTTTGATTACCTAAGCGATATAAGAAGAATTTTAGTCGTTAAATCTTGATTTTTCAATAGTATAAGCTGTTCAGWTGATTYTGAAATAGGCCACTTGCTTTGAGTGGGTCTTGACTGGATGAAACTRATAAAAGGATTGCATATGTCATCGGCATCTTATTCTTACCTACTACACTAGCTTTGTTTTCAGTTGAACATGACTTTGAACTCTATTTTGAAATGCCAGTTTTTGCAATTTTAAGTGCTACAAAATCAAAACCAGGTTTATTAATTATAACGCCTTCTCACCACCACTAAAATTAAAATTTCTGGGCATGTCAATGATGATTGCAATTTATAGTGAATAGATAATATGAAATGCTCTCCGGCGTTAATTAGAAAGCTCTGTGCGTTGAAATCAACTGTTCCAAATTAGTAAATTTGTTCACTGTTTTTAAGTAAATAACATGTAATTTTTTCGATATGGTACGCAATTTTTATTCAAATGATCAAGTCGACGCTTTCTCCCTCGTCCCTTCCGTAAACCGTTTGCTTCCATCTGATAAACCGAATGATGACAGTGCGAGGTGATAGATATTATAGGCATCGATATTTAGGATGTAAAAATATATCATAAACACTCGTTGGTTACAACTTATAACCAACGTAGTCAATTAATAATATTCGTGTAYAGACTACAGAGGTTAGATGACTTAAGTGCTGTTGTAAGCGTAATAGCAGGCCCTAAGGTATTGTAATATTATTATGTATTATAATATTATAGGTCCTCGCGATGTCGCGATGACATGTGCGTGTCACGAAACAACAACAATAATAATATGTTTAATACGAAATGTATTCTGCGCTAAAATATGATATGTGTTAATGTGTTATAGTTGTTGTTTATCGATGTATACTCGCAACAAACGTCAATCATTGTTTTACCGAGTCGTTTTTTTTAACMGTTTTTTCGCACATTCGCGTATTTGACTTCGACTTTAATGTGGYTACCGCATAATAATAATATGTGATAATATGCAGCGTCATTATATTACCACGATTCGATGTGTCAATATAATATTAGCACAATCGCGTCATTATATCGACATGTGTTCGCCACTCATGCAAATAGACGGGTACGACAGTAGGTATATATATATATATATAAGCAATGACCTACTAAAGCTTGAAGTTGTAATAAGTGCTCGTCGATTAAAGTGCCGATAAACGTATATGTGTCTGTAAAATATTATTATGATTGTTACGAGCTTGTGTTCAAAACGCTCGTATTRGTGCGTATTGTACCTACCTRCTACACATGTAATATTAATTTTATATTTTACATACAATTACGGCATACGTTTTGTCACACACCAGCATGGATATTGTATTGAAGCGTTAGACATATAATATTTCGCACCTCTATAGACTATATAGAACAATACTGACACCATTGGCACCGAACTCATTATATTATACACTATATGATGAGAAACGATCGCTTTACTTCTTSAATGGGTGGGTGGGTGTATGTGAGTTGTTCTAGGGAATAGCAGTCTTAATGGGTTAATAAAGTTATATCAAGTGTTCCATACATGATTAAGTGTATTTTTATATCACGTTAGACGGCTGGACAACTTCGGTGGRTGGGTGGGTAAAAAATTCTAAATTTCGCTCCACAAAAAAAATTCTGAGTTCGGCGCCACCGTCTAACACTACGGAAAATTGATAGTTTTGAGAAAAATTGATTTGAAGTTTCAATCTAAGATATTWAAAAGACATGTTTATCTTTGCGTTAAAACTAAAAACTTAATTACCTAATTTGGTATTCGTTTAGTATGTGACCTACCGATCACGTGACCTAYCGTATAGGGTATTCGTTTTTTATGCGTGACCTACTGGCTACCGGACCGATAATTCATTTAAAAACAGTCAAATTAATTATATAATTAGTATATTTTWAAATTTTAAATGCATATGTATAAATCGTTTTTTCCTGGGACTCAAATTACCTACTACCTATTTTTCCCCGGGACTCAATTTACCGAATTAGGGTCATTTGGGACTCAATTTACTAACCCCGTTGGTCACATACTAAACGAATACCCCTAATTACAGTAATATGCATACTTTGCATTAGATATAACTTTTCGAATATCACGAAATACCCTCATAAAACCAAAAAGTTACACTTAAGCGGCTTTTTAATTTAAATCCTAAATTTATAAGACTTTAATGTTTTGAAATATGGCTGTTAAACAAGCGATGCCACTTCWACTCTAAATATTGCTGTCTTGCATCACTCAACATTATCACACAACAATTAGTTTTTATTTAGCGCAAGAATGCGATACAAATCAAAATAAGGCAGTATTGAATTTTGAACTCACRGTGATTATGGTTAATTGGATAAATTATAAAAACACTACGCATACTTCCATGATAAAGTAGGTAAACATGGGTCTCTTATTGCTTTAAAAATTAATTGAAAACKATTTAATTCAATACCTACTGACAAATATTTTTAGTGGCTAAATGAAAATAGGTATTATATTGAACCACCAGTCTTAAATCATTTGGAGGTATTTTTTTTTTTACAATTCAAAGGTAGGTATAATTCAAAATAGATGAATTTTGAGTTGTGTGCAGTCTTGTAGTTCTAGATATGCGATTAATATTTCGTACACTTAGCATACCAACGAAAAATTAGACCTCTTCATTGACACCGGCTCGTTATCTGAACGGTATTTCGGATGCATCGTTGATAGCTTTTATGATTTTTTACTATGATTTAGCACCGTATGTCACACTAAGTATATACACTATAGGTAATAGCTCATTCATACAATACGCTTTTCATTTTTTTATCGATGATCTCAACAATAATACCGAAAAAAAATATTGATCAAAAAGTGATTCGAAAAATACAGTTTCAACTTTCAAAACATATAAAATATAGCTTAACTGATCTGAAAATGCATGCTCTGATGTTGAGATCAAAATAATGATTTCTGCATATCTTTATATAATTATTATATAGCGGTTGTTGTAGTTGAAACGAAAAACTGCCATAATCAGTGTATAGGATTTAACAATTGTTTGCAGGTCGCTAAATTCTGACAAGGCCCTGCATTTAATAATTATGTAGTTATTTTTTGTTTTTTAGAATGTTAACCTCCAAAAAATCAACACTACATTTTTTATTGCAATATCATTGACCATTACCACTGCAGTTAGATTAGATCGATAAAAACAACGGCTTCGTAAGTGTTTTACCGATACGTTTTGTACGAAGCCCGCCTTCTAATGGATTTTCTGACATTACTTGAACACTATTTAATCCACCACTGACCGCAATCAAAAGGTTCGTTTATGATTAAAGACAGTGGCGCAGCAGGGGGGGAGGTTGGTACACACATTTAAAATAAATAAACAAAAAAAAGATCTTAACTTTGAAATTTGACATTTAAAATCATTTCGAATGAAATAACCCCCCCCCCTCCCCCACCAATGGTTGCGGTATAGTAATAGAAGATACATAATGCATGTCCCATCGTCTCTCCAAAATAATCAAACAAAATATACAATTCATATAATGATGAAAATATTATGTGGATTAAAAATTTATAACGAGAAACGACATGATCATTTATTTTCTCATAACTATACCTGCTCCCGTGATGAGTATTATATTCTGATCAATAATAGTTACAAATAAACGAATAAAAATGATTCACAGAAATTATTATTATTTGTTTCATAAATGAAAAAAAATTTGAAAATGTATTTATTTTTTTATTTCACTTTTTATGTAAAGTCTTGTTTCATTATTATTATTATTATTATATCATTACTTTTTTTTTAATCTATATATTTTCATTGTCACGGACATAACTTTATATTTCAATTAATTCCAGTCGTTTCTGGATTTTAAACGTCTTGTCTGGACTGGCCTCTTTTTGTAGAGTATTGTATTCGCAGCTTTGACTACAACGTTATTGCTGAGTTTTTGCAGGTTGGACAGATTTTGAACCTTCATATCAAATGTGGAGTCGAAGTGTGGACTCCTCAAAATCAATTCTAARTTGTCAAATATCGTTTTGGTTATCTGTCTAACGACATCTAGGTTATCGAAAACCATGTTGAGGCCTTTCATATTATTGTGCCAGATGATACGGAAGTTGGGGTTCTTCATGATTTTCCTGACCCAGAAGAATATATTTCCCAGGGTTAGCGAAATATTGGTGTCGGTCGTCAAGTTAATGATCCCGTCATATAGGCTGACGAGTCCGTTGTGGGCCTTCGGGTCCATGCAGATGTCATGAGTGCTCTGTCGCAAGTTATTGAGTATACGCACGCCTACTGGGTTGCTCAGCACCGAAGCCAAGTTTTCGTGCAAGTGATACTTAATGTCACAATTATCTTGTCCGTCAAACGAGCTGTGTGCCTGAAAGTCAACAAACGCAAAGCATGAAGTGGGAAAATAATGAATGGTCAATCGATGGTCGTTGCACAAATACGCATCAGATCTATATTCCGATGCGGTGTTGTACATGATCTTTGACTCGATATAGCCCTTGTAAAGATACTTTTTTAAGTATATTCAAGTACAGGTACTTATTTTGTATTTTGAAAGTATTTGAATAAATCGGTAGAAGAAAAAAAAAATTATGGATTATAAATATGGATACTAAGAAAAGTGTTTATATAAACAAATAATTTCAAATTTTTTTAAAAAAMTTTTTTCACCTTGTTAATCATAACTAAACCGATTTTTATGGTTAACGTTAGTTGTATATAGTGTATATTTTAMACCACATTGTTTGGCGAAACTTTAAAATAATCAACTGTTTTCTGTGTCAAAGAATTTGATTTTCGAATAAGTATAATTCATATAGCAATAAATATTATATCAATATGCCTATATATATACTCAATAATTATTTTTGTCTAGCGAAATAAACATTGAAATCGAAAATACATAAACTAAAAAGAATATTACTAATGTTCCTACTTGAATTTAAAAATAAAATCTTTTTGTTTTTTTTTTTCGTTTAGGTACGTCATAATGCCCATTATTAATAAAGCTTTAACTCCACACCATCAAAAAAATAAAGTATAATGAGAGCTTTGAATCACCGGTGACCTTATAAGCTGCCCCAGAAAATTAATTTGGTTTTTGTCACCGGCAACTTAAATGGCTCCACTTTGACATWTAAGTGTTGGTCACCCGCGGCTCGGCTCGTTGCAGTCATAAAGTATTTTAATGCTTTTGATCAAATACTTTAYAACAATATTGATAGCATGTAATGTATTATCGACGAAACACAACAATTGACAACCGTTGAAAAATATGACGGAATACTTTTGCCCGACTATAACGTTATTATTGTCACGACTTTAAAACGTCGTAAATGTTGATTGTTTTGGAAATATACAATAATTGTTTCAATGATTTATAATAATTAATAATGGACGTGACAAATGCGCCAACAGATATTTAGTAGGTAGTACTTTTTTTTTTTTCATATACAAATAATTAAAACGGGTCTAGGCCAAAATAACGAACCGATTAACTGCAAATGTAAAAATCGCGAATTGATAATGGCGAGTTTTAAAATATTAAGTGATTATGAATAATAACGAAACGGCAGAATTTTATATTTTTTTATATTTTATATTTAATATTTTGAATACTTTAAATCTTGCTATAGTACTTGAATAAGTTTCAAAATATATAAAACTGTAACTTAATAAAACTTATTTTTACCTGTGATTTTTGGTKCAATTAACGTATACCCAGTACCCATGGACGTTTCGCGTTAGGTTATTGACTCGTACTCAATGTGCAATCTTAGTTACTATTCTAACTATTTTAATACTGAAAGTATTGGTAAGATTATCAACTAAGAATTGTTTTTTTTTTTTCAAAATAATTATCACTAAATGTCAAATTGAATATTTTCCCCCTTTTTTTAAATTTTTATTTTCACCATTATTATTAATCCGTGGTCATTGTTTCGCCATTTTGGCCAGATACCAATTAAAACAATTCAATAATAAATTTAAAATTGTTATAACGCATAACATATTATATGGACATATGGTTATATTTATTTTTACTAAAAATCATATTTTATTTACTAAAAAATCATTTGTATCAAGGCGGTATGACAGTAAGTAGTCACTATTCATGTAGGCATAGGATTTAAATTACTCTTTCGTTATTTTCCCCCATTTTTTCTACTGAAAATWCAATATAGCAGGTGCCACATGACACAATTCATACGTCACGTCGCCACAAACATTGATCAACACAAGTATAAATAAATATAATATTTTATATATATGAGATTCGAGAGGTAAATAAAGTCTATATTGTATTCGCAGTTAAAAAACGTTAGATATTTCTATGAAATCAATGATAGAATATCAATGCATTTTTTTTTTTATTTGATCCGTTTTAACCTCCCCCCAAATTCAGGTTTGCCCTAGCCTATGCTTCTATAATAAATGTAAGCCTTTTTTCTTTCTATTTATCAATAAATTATTATCTAAGTAAAAATTACACATATATAATATGTTTAAATAAGTATTAAAATAAAATTCGAAACGACCAGATAAACTAGAGCTTTCGAATATTTTGATTGAAAACAATGTTAACTATAGAAACTTTTACTTTAAAAATAATTTTTTTTTTTATAAACAAACTTAAAACGCTTTCAAATACCGTATGGCATAGCTCATAATACTGAGATCTAATACACAAAAAGTATAACAATTACTAACATTCCTCTGATCATTGGTTTTGTTGACTCAATAAACACAAAAAAAATAATAAAAATACAACTAAATTCTGTTTAGGTATTTAAATATTTTTAAATTCAATAAATTAATAATTGCTGTGTTTTTTTTTTTTAAATATATTTTTATCATTGAAAAACTGTTCAAATAATTATGTGCATTATTATCATTATTATTTTTTATTTTTTTTATTTCGTGATAAAAAATAATATAGGTACGGGGTCCCATTTAAGCCTTAAACAAAATGTTTTAATTAATAATAATATTATGTCATCGTTATTATTAACTGGACAAAGGTCTAATTCAATTAAATTTTTACTTCAAAAATATTCGTTCAATATTCATAACRTAACGGCTATAATATTATAATACATAGACGATGTTAAATCGGACGAGTAATGATCCTCGCAGGTTCAAAAATATAATATTGTATTACCCTTTATCAATGAACAATATTTACACGAAATAATATTGGTACTTATTATATAACATWTATTTCCCTAATAATTCACTAACAGTAATTAATGCTTGTGATACATATGTATTTAAATAGTTTTTGTGACATTGTWAAGGTATATTGAGTTGTAATTGTAATGTATTAACAACAATAAAAAAATATGCTTATAAACGGTTAAAACCTCACTAAATATGAGGTAGATATAGTAAGTGCACATATTTTGTAACTGGCTATTGTATTTAACTCATTGTTGTGATACGTGTGCATAACTCAAACATTCAGTTKATTATATGGTTAGGTACCATATTTTAAATTAATAATTGAACAGTGCAAATGTTTATCTATTGTTTAACTCCGGTAATTATGATTCATTTAAATTTTTTTCGGAAAACAGTGWCTAAAAATTAAAAAAAATTCTTAGAATTCACTCTGTGGTTTGATGTTAATATAAGCGTCAAAAGTAATTTAAAATTGTGTAGGTCACTGTGTAATGGTCGTGTTAAACTTAAACTCAATGATAAGTCTTTGCATAGGAAAAACAATTCTAAGCGAATAAGGTCTGTCTGCCCATACATTTCTAAGGATATTATATAGGCACCTATATCATATTCATATTGATGAAATAAATGTTTTTTGTTTGTCTTATGTTGAACCAAGCGCGGGTATAAGTAACTAAGCAAGCTTAAAAAGTTAAAGTTAAGTTAACTTTGTAATATTTAGTTTTCATCAAATTAATTTTTAACCGAATTTTATAGGTCGTACCTATAAACTTTTAGTAGGATGTCTTCGACATCGCAGCATAGATAAAATGGTTACTCCAAAAACCGATTTTCATGATTTTTGAATAATTCTAGACTAAATAAGTAATCTATTATAAAAATTATAGAGGATAATATTTTTGAGGATATATCATTTAGGTCTTATATTTTATTGTTGTTTGACTTTAAAAAAAAAAAAAAAATGTTGTAGATTTAAATTGTCTATAAATAAAATTAAGGAAAATCGATATGGCATAAAAAATATCACAAAAATATTATCTTCTCTTTTTTTGTAATGGGTGATTTTACTCTAAGATTACTCAAAAAAATAAAAAAAAAAAAATGATTTTGCTTAAAAATGCGTTTTATCTATGTTGCACTCGGGCAAGAGAGRGAGGAAATAATCAATGCGCAGATATCCCCCCTAGATAAAATTATGAGTTAATTTTAATCAAATCCAAGTTAATTTAAGATAAGATAAGAGAAGTTTCCATTTTAACTTAACTGAGTTAAAACAAAATTAAGATAAATATCTTGAGACTTTAAAAAATTTGTCTGCTAATTTAATTTAACTCAATTAGTAGTTATTATTAACTTTCCCGGGCTTAAGTTGAACAAATTTTTGCCAAAAAATACATGCAATATTATTAATTGTTTCCTATTGTTAACTCATTAGACTTTACTGCGSCGTATCGTAAACCGGTGAATAGGTTTGTGGTGTACATAACTTGAAATAAATTAAAACATTTTAAAAACAACATCGTGTAAGGGAAATATTAAATAATGATATACGTAGACGATGGTGTAAATTTTCTACCTCTACAAATAATATTTTTGTAATTACAGTAAATTAACCAAGCCTGGGCAAGTTAATGATAATTTTTAACTGA